TTGTGCTCAAATCTTCATTCCACATTTATCTTTCTATACAGGTATATTTCTGTACAGATGCATCCTTCTGTACAGTGTTTTATCTGTACAGTCATTCCTTCTGTACAGTGCTATATATCTTTACAGTGCTCTATATCTGTACAGTGGTTTATCATCTGTACAGTGGTTTATATCTGTACAGTGGTTTATATCTGTACAATCATCCTTCTGTACAGTGATTTATATCTGTACAGTCATTCTTCTGTACAGTGGTCTATATCTGTACAGTCATCCTTTCTATACAGTAGTCTATAATATAAATTTTTAAAAAATTATCAAACAAAATGCATATCAAATGATAGAGAAAAAACATAGATTTTTATGTATTTGATAAATTTTAGAAACAAAAAATTCACTAACGAGCATCTTAATTATGAGACTTTAGGGGAATAGGAGATAATAAAGAAAAGAAAAGAAACTAAAAAAAACATGGCCCACGTTTCTCTTTCTCACAAATACAAAGCCTCTACTAGTAATTTCCACTCTCTTACACTCTACCTCACTTTCTCTCCTATCTCACACAAATTCTATTACACAAAAAGTAATAACTGACTGTTTCCCTAATTATAAATAGTACTCGTACTACTTTTCTAATTAAGTTTCACAAACGTACTACTTTCCCAACAAACCCATATTTAAAATTGAGTTAGACATAGATTTTAGGTTGTGCGAATATGTACATGCAATTTCATTTTTTAAAATCCGGTGAGTGGTGTCATGTTTTAGGCCCATTAGAAAACCCGGTGAGTAGACTATTTGACGACTACACTCACCATAGGGATTAGTTGGATGGTAAAATTCCGGAACACCCTCTCATTAGAAGAAAAAAAAAACTTAACTTGATGATTCATCTTATTGGATAAATATATTTATACTATCTAGTTTGGGAGAAGAAGATTATAATTTGGTGACATCATTATCGTATCGGTTGTGTTTTCTTGCGACTCAAGCCAATGGGGAATCAAAGTATCCTTGGAAGTCCTAGTTTTCTCTTCTATCTCTACACTCTCATGCAACGAACGTTGAAAAATCTCTGCAATTTACTACAACATATTTTTAACTTAGGTCAAAAATTTTGACTTAGGTCAAGATATTGTCAAATTAATTAACCAGCAGCCCATGTGAACATATCGAACGATGTAGCACCATCTCATAACAAAGCAGCCGCCCGCTTCTGTCTTATGTGGTGGAGAAACCAGCCATCAACTATTGATTAGTCAACATCTTATCTTCTATTGTTTTCTGTTTACGATAGTTCACTATAAATAGAGGTTGATCTTGTGCTTACTTCTTCACACTACTCATACATACATACAAACATACATAATTAAAAACCAAAAGTAATAGTAATGGCTAATTCTGCTGCCATCATCACCTTCCTCTTCGCTGCTCTAGTTCTCTTTGCTGCTTTTGGTGAGTAACAAATAACGATTTTATATCATTATCATATGCATGAAAAAGTTAACTTTTGAATTTTACAGTTTAGATTGATATATTGGAAATTAACAAAACATTACAAAAAATTAACAGGATATTAATATATGTTACGAGAGCTAGGTCCCGAGCTCGATTCTCAGAACGTCCCATTTGTATTTTTTAACAAAAAAGATATTAATATATGCAGAAGAACCAATAATGGTGGAAGCACAGAAGTTGTGCGAGAAACCAAGTGGAACATGGTCTGGAGTTTGCGGAAACAGCATGCAAGAACCAATGCATTAACCTTGAGGGAGCAAAACATGGATCTTGCAACTATGTCTTCCCAGCTCACAAGTGTATCTGTTACGTTCCATGTTAATCTACCAATAATCTTTGGGGCTTCATCGTGTGTTTATTTTACATAAAATAAGTTTGTGTCACTCTATGAGTGACTCTATGACATGCATCTTTATGTTTCAATGTTTGTTTTGGTTTGCTTTGTTGTTATAATAATATAAAAGAATTATGTACGAAGAAGTAGGACTTTTTGTTCTTGTCCATATTTGTCACGTTAAATTACTAGGTGAAATTAAACCCCAACTTTATTGTTTGATCAGACTATCAAATTCATGCACGACAAGTGATATACTAATTGAGAGAGTTACGGTAAAAAAAAAAACTAAAGATCCAAAAACAAAATATATATATATATATATATAGCATTCTCTAATATTGTCTAACTAGTAACAATTATAGCAAACATATGAAATGCATATAAAGACATGATTGGGGTGAAGCAAGAACATAAATAACAAGATTAAATAAAAGTGATAAAAATAGGAGATTTAAATCTCAAACGGAAGTGATGAGAATGTTATATATGGACAATGGGACAAGCTTTACTTAAATCAGGCATCGGTATCGGTATCGGGAGGTGCATTGTTCCTTTTTTCATGCATGTCTCCACATAGTATTTTTTACTACATACTACTGTTTCTTCGGATGATCAACATCTGTTTGTACTCTAAATTCATAGCCACGACCAACAATGGTTTGATCCATAGCCAACTTAGCTAGTTTGAAAATCTAGATTTACTATCGGCGAGAGCAACACATTGATGAATCATCCAATTTCGGTTATAGGTGTTTCCCTGTAAAATTTACATGGGGAAACTTTGCGACAGCAGTTTCTTGTTCTGAAAACTTGGTAGAACGATGCTGCTCTTGAGATCAACTAAACCATGTCGATAGTCCACTATGATGTATGTCTAGGGGTGATGCTCTAATCCAAAAAATTTGACCGCTTAGTTTTATCTGATTGCTCTGCTCATATGGTTTTCACCTTACAAAAAATCTGCGCCAAGATATATCTTACATTTTTACTTCCAAGGTATTTATTCGACGAAGGTCAGACTACCAACTACACTTGTCCTAACTGTGAAAATCTCTGACATATTTATCAATATACTTGTGTAACTTTTTTTTTTTTTTTTTTTTTTTTTTTTTTTTGCTAAGAAGGTAAATATTTCATAGAAAATGAAAACAGTTTAGGTTTACAATCAAAGATTATAGACCTATACAAATGGTCCCATGGCAAAAAAAATTAAAACATGGAAGCATAATTTGGAAGCCAATGATCTCGGTCCATCCACTCAACCAAAGCAACGAGGCTAAGGGAGTTAGATGAAGCGATGACGATTTTATTGTTCTTCCCGGATTAGTTGCTGAAGAAGAAGGGCGACTGCAAATTGTAAACACCTAGATTCACAAGACGCTTAGCTTCAGAAGCCTTTCAAAGGAGGTCCGAGACCGAGCCGTCAACGGCATAGAACTCAAAGCCCTCGATCACATACTCCTCTCGTCATGTGAGAGCGGTTCTGCGAACATATCCATGAGCTTTCCCTGAACGGAACCTCACAAGCCAAAATATGCGAAACGGTACGAGCTCCCTCTACCAAGTTCATTCCCCGAAGTCAGCTAGCACAGAGCAAGATAACACAAATCACAACCACACCGAATCGCCCAAAGCCTTACTAGCTCCTCTAAAGCACAAAGCAAAACGCAAAAAGGCGAGTACTCAAAGCAAAGCCTACTTCGACTCAAAGCAACAACACTAGCAAGACACAAACAAAACCTGGGTTTGAGCAAAATCAACAAGTCAAGATATACAAGTGACGTTATCAATTGGAGATGATAAACAAGTCACCACCGGCGACTAAGTCATCAACAAATCAAACATCACAGCAACCACCTGAAGGCACAAAAAGAGCATTCGAGACGGTGAACAAACCAGACGTGCCACGTCAGAACATCCTCTTAATAGTCCTGCCACTGTCCTCAAGCAGAAGTTGCCAACAGAGAAATGTTCATCAAATCGCCTAGTCTCGCCGTCAAGGAGAACGCCCAAACTGAAACCAACTAGCAGCGATACTCTGAAACCTATGCGAAGGAGAGTAACAAGAGCGGTAGAGGCTTCAACGACTCAAAGACGAAGAACAACACAACCAACACGGCCGAGAAGCTTCGACGGAGCCACTGAAAACCACTCAAAGCGAAACTAACTCCAACACACGAAATCGACTCACGCGGAAGGGACAGTAGCACCTAACCTCTGGAATTTGGCCGTCCTCAAGCGAAACAACCCATCAGAAAGATGACAAACCTCCGAAAAAAGCGAGACGATGCACGGCGGTTAATCCAAGCGGAGGCTTGGAAAATGTGAATCCTTGCAAAGCGGAGAAGCGACACCATAGCGCCGCCGATAGAAACTTCTATCGCCACCAGAAACACCAGGAAGGAGACGATCTAGAAGTAGATCTGCAAGCGAGGCTTGCTCCGCCGGTCGAGATGCGAGACGCAAGGGAAGGAAACAAGACTCCGCCGTTCGTCTATCGCCGTCGACAAGCAATAGAGCCACAGAGGAAAAGATCCCGACCACCGTAAGAGGCCGTCACGCACGGCGGATCTCCAACACTCGCCGCGAGAAACATAGCATAATCGAGACTTGGGCGAGAATCTCAAGCACCGGAGTGGAGCAACGATAAAAGATAAAGAAGCTAAAGAGGGGTGACCGGTGTGATGCTAAAGAAGCCACCAACCACCAGTCACCGGAGAAGACGCTCGAGGTTGCGGCAAGGGCGAGAAAAAATTTGAGAGAAAAACAATTTCAGGCGCGTGGGGTTACGCGCTCGAGATCTTTTTTCTTAACAGTTTCAAATATACTTGTGTAACTATGGCTTGGTTAAAGATCTTATTTTCTTGAGTGTGGTCCAAGTCAGATTAACCAGCCGCCCATGTGAACGATGTAGCAAAGCCAAAGCAGCCGCTTAGGTTACATTAGATATTGACAGAGAAAATTATGTGGTGGAGAAACAAGCCATCAACTATTAATAACCCAAAATCTTATCTTTTAATATTAGCTACGAGAAGCCATACATGGTGTGTTCAATTTGTGGGGTACGATTAGCACGTTATTGTACGATAACAAGTAGAAAATATTCACCATCATTTCATTATAAATAGAGGTTGATCTTAAGATTATTTCTTCACACAACACACATAAATACATTGAAAACAAAGTAGTAATAATCATCATGGCTAAGTTTGCTTCCATCATCACCCTTATCTTCGCAGCTCTTGTTCTCTTTGCTGCTTTTGGTGAGTAATGCTCTTATAATATGAATAAAACTATGTGTTAAAATGTAATGTTCATTTATTTAACTTGAGAGATGTATACATATATGCAGAAGCACCAACAATGGTGGAAGCACAAAAGTTGTGCGAGAAGCCAAGTGGTACATGGTCAGGAGTTTGCGGAAACAGCAATGCATGCAAGAATCAGTGCATTAACCTTGAGGGGGCAAAACATGGATCTTGCAACTATGTCTTCCCAGCTCACAAGTGTATCTGTTACGTCCCATGTTAATCTACGTACCAATAATCTTTGGTGTCGTGTCGTGTGTATTTTACATAAAATAAGTCTGTGTCACTTTATGAGTGAGACTCTATGACATTGCATGTTTCAGTTTTAATGTATGGTTTGACTTTTCTATAATACAAAATTTAAGTACGACGTATATGACTTTTTTTCTTGTCCATAATTTGTCTACAACATGCACACTTTTTCCAATAAGGACCGAGTGTAAGTGTATTAGGGTTCGATGCCCTTTCCATTGATCACAGTAATGTATATATACAAGTGTGTCAGAGGATCTCGAGAGATCTATAGTATCCTAACTTAACATATATGACTATACAAAGATATAGGGAATATCCTATCTAACACTCCCCCGCAGTCGGAGCGGAGGTTCTTGAACGCTCAGGCTGGAGCGAAAATCTGTGAACAACGGAGATGGTAATCCCTTGGTGAAAATGTCGGCGTACTGCATAGCCGACGGGACATGGAGGACGCGTACTTGGCCTAGTGCGACACGTTCTCTAACAAAGTGTAGGTCGATCTCGACATGTTTGGTCCGTTGGTGTTGGACAGGATTGGAGGAGAGATAGACCGCTGAGATGTTGTCGCAATAAACAAGCGTCGCCTTGGTGAATGGACAGCCTAATTCAAGGAATAGATTGCGGAGCCAAGTCGTTTCAGCAACGGCATTGGCCACACCACGGTATTCAGCTTCGGCGCTAGAGCGAGAGACCGTGTGCTGGCGTTTGGAAGACCATGAAATGAGGCTGTCACCAAGAAATACACAGTAGCCAGAGGTGGAACGACGAGTGGAGGGGCAGCCTGCCCAATCAGCGTCAGTGTAGGCTACAAGGTCCGTGATGGAGGATTTCTTGAGTTGTAACCCGTGAGAGATGGTGCCTTTGATGTAGCGAAGGATCCGTTTGAGAGCTGTTAAGTGATGTTCTCGGGGATCATGCATGAAAAGGCACACCTGTTGAACTGCGAAAGAAATATCAGGACGTGTAAACGTTAGATATTGTAAAGCGCCAGCTAGACTTCGGTATAGAGACGGGTCAGCAACAGGTGGACTGTCCGTGGCGTCGAGCTTGGCTTTGGTGTCAACCGGAGTGAGAGACGGCTTGCATTCGGTCATGGACGCGCGATGAAGTATGTCAGCTGCGTAATTGTGTTGACTGAGGAACAAGCCGGCATCATTGTAAGAGACCGCAATTCCAAGAAAGTAGTGTAGTTTGCCAAGGTCCGTGAGTTCCAAATCTTTGCCAAGTTCGGAGATGATTTGACGCTGGAGATCGTTGGTAGAAGAGGTGAGGACGATGTCATCAACGTACAAGAGGAGATACGCCAAGGAGGATCCACGACGGAGAACGAATAATGACGGATCCGTGCGGCTTTGCGTGAAGCCAATGCGTTTGGCAAGCGTAGCAAAACGTGTGTACCAAGCCCGGGGTGCTTGCTTGAGCCCGTAAAGAGATCGACGAAGCAAACATACATGATTCGGCTTGGTTGGATCTGCGAAACCCGGCGGTTGATGCATGTAGACCGTCTCTTGAAGGTCACCATGGAGGAAGGCGTTCTTGACGTCAAGTTGGCCAAGAGGCCAATCGCGAGCAAGGGCAACATGTAACACGGCTCGGATTGTGGCTGGCTTGACAACGGGGCTGAATGTGTCGTCGCAATCGATGCCAAGTTGTTGTGATTTGCCATTAGCCACCAAGCGCGCCTTGTACCTAGAAAGCTTTCCATCTGCATCAAACTTATGACGAAAAAGCCACATGGAGCGAACAATGTTAGTAGCCGGTGGTCGCGAAACTAAGTCCCACGTTCTGCGTTTAATAAGAGCATTGTATTCCTCCCCCATAGCATTATTCCAATAAGGATCCTTTGCTGCCTGCACATGAGAAAGAGGAAGAGGAGAAATAGAATCGGTATGAAGACAAATAGGAGCACGGGGTTTGGTGATCCCGTTTTTGGCTCGTGTTGTCATAGGATGATGATTTGTGGGAGCTGCAGTGACGACTGTCGGTGGAGGAGTACCGATAGGAGGAGAAGGAACCGATGGTGGTGGTATTAATGGAGGAGGGAGAGGTTGTATAGTGGGCGCAGGAGGAGTTGGTGCCGCAGGGACTGCGGAGAAGGGAAAATTATCTTCAATAAAAGTGACGTGACGAGAGATAATGATCCTTCGAGAAGATAACTCAAGGCACCGGTAACCTCTATGACTGGATGGATACCCTAAGAAGACACAAGCAGTGGAACGAGGAGCTAACTTGTGAGAGGAAGTAGCCAATGTGTTAGGGTAGCATAAACAACCGAAAACACGGAGATGAGAGTAAGTAACCGGAAGATTAAATAGACGAGTGAAGGGAATAAGATTTTTAATAGAAGAGGAAGGAAGAATGTTAAGAGTATGAACCGCGGTGTTGAGTGCTTCTACCCAATACGAGTGAGGCATATGAGCTTGGATGAGAAGCGTGCGCACAAGATTGTTAAAGGTGCGAAGCATCCTCTCGGCGCGGCCATTTTGTTGTGACGTATGAGGGCAAGAGAGACGTATTTCAGTGCCGGTAGCAGCCAAGTAATCGAGGAAGACATGGCTTGTGTATTCGCCGCCGTTGTCACACTGGAGAGCCCGAATAGTTTTGTTGAACTGTGTTCGAACATAAGCTGAAAAATGGAGAAATTTTTCAAACGTATCACTTTTCTTTTGAAGTGGATAAACCCAAATGAAATGAGAGAAATGATCCATAAATAAAAGATAATATTTGAAACCACTGTTGCTAAGAACGGGAGAGGTCCAAATATCAGAGTGAATAATTTGAAATGGTTCAGAAACAAGAGAAGAGGAAGAAATAAATGGAAGGCGAACGTGTTTGCCTAATCGGCACGCATGACACAGAGACGTCATGTCGGCCTTATTATTGAAAGAGCTGCCTAAAGAATTTAAAGAACGTTGAATAGAGCTACCCGGATGACCTAAGCGACGGTGCCAAAGAGAGCTACCCGTGGTGAGAGCGAGCGGAAGATTTGATGGAGAAGATGGTGTCACCGAGTATAAGGGACCGGAACTGTCACATCGGAGAATTGTTTTCTTGGTCGGTAGGTCCTTAACAGAGAAACCAAGAGGGTCAAATTCAACAGTACAGTGATTGTCAGTAACAAACCGACGAACAGAGACAAGATTTTTAATTATGCTGGGACAAACAAGGACATTATTAAGACGAAGAGGACGAGAAGGAGAAAACAGAGTACCATGGCCCATTTTAGTGACAAGGGCAGAGGAGCCATTACCGACTAACACAGAGGGAGTCATGCTCGAATTAAAAACAGAATTTAGGGTACCTTGTTGCGCGGTGATGTGATTTGTAGCAGCGGTGTCCATGTACCATGCCGCATCTGCCGGATCTTGGAAGGACATGGTGCTGAACGCATGAGCGAGAGCAGAGGGCAGCATGGTGGTCGGAACCGGGTAGGCTGCGGGGTCCTGAGTGATGTGAGCCTCATGTGTTGGACGTGGAGAGTATGGTCCAAGGATGCTATTTTGGCGGAGATGAGGAGGAGCGGATGCAGCGCGAGAGTGTGGTGATGGCATCATTGGGTAACCACCATGGTAGTATGGATATGGCCATTGAGGAGGACCATAAGGCCATGGTGGAAAACCGTAACCAGACGGATGGGAGCTGACTGTGGGTGAACCGGAGTTGTTAGACCGTCCACGACCGCGATTTCCACGGCCACCACCGCGGCCGCGGTTCTTGTTGTTGTTTCCTCTGTTGTTGTTGTTGTGTTGCGGAGAGGAAGCGGGGGACGATTGATCGCCCGTGTAGAGAACGGTGGGTGAGGACGCCGTCGGAGTGTGAGCGATGGCGATGCGATGTTGCTGCTTGATTCTGTCCTCCTCAGCTTGAAGCATGGAGCGAGCAGTGGCGAAGCTTGGGAATGGATTCCGGTGTCTGATGACATTGTGAATGCCATCAAATTTGTCATTGAGTCCATTGAGGCAGTGTATGACCAGAGAGCGATCTGTCACCGGAGCGTCAACGTTGGCGAGCAGATCGGAGAGAGACTTCAATTTGCGGCAATACTCATGGACTGAGAGGTCGCCGATGGTGATGGTGCGCAGCTCGTTCTCCAGCTGTAGGGCACGGTTCTCTTTGTTGTCACGGAACTGATTCTCAAGAGAGATCCAGAGATCACGGGCGGAGGCTTTTGGTTTGAGAATCGTCTCCACCAATGAATCTGTGATGGTTCCATAGATCCACATTTTTACGAGACCGTCACGTTCTTTCCACACCTTTTCAGTGGTTGGAGTGGAGACGGAGGTACCATCGAGATGGCCGAGTACCCCGAACGTGAGGCAGTGGGTCTCAAAGAGTTCCCTCCAGACATCATAGTTCATCTTCTCCAGATTGAGCATAATAGGGATGTATGCCCGAATCTGGTTGATGCCAAAGGGTTTTTCAGAGGGAGTTGTTGTGTCAGCCATGAGGAGAGAAGTAAAGAGAGAAGAAAGAGACGAAGGAGGAAGAAAGGAGAAAGGAGGTGAATAACAGAGAGAGGAATCGCACAATTAGGCGAAGAGAGGGACCCTAGATCGTGTGGCTGCTGATACCATGTAAGTGTATTAGGGTTCGATGCCCTTTCCATTGATCACAGTAATGTATATATACAAGTGTGCCAGAGGATCTCGAGAGATCTATAGTATCCTAACTTAACATATATGACTATACAAAGATATAGGGAATATCCTATCTAACACCGAGTATCTCTCCGCAGGAATTGGGCACAATGAAGTGGCTTGTATAGCTAAATTCAACTTTAAGAAAGAAACAAAAAGAGGTGGGGGTGTATCAATCTGTAAGAATATTGATTTTTGGTGTTAAGAATTAACATATATACATGAATACATCACCTGGTAAGTGGTAATGATAGAGAAAAATAAATTGTGTAGTTATCCCCGAGAGAAGTATGAATAAATGACGGAATATGTCAAAGAAAGAACTTCTTTATAAGTTTTCATAGGCAGTTTAAGTTAAATCACCCGACAGAAACCCCAATTCAATAGTTTATCGGACTACGTTGGAGAAGTTAAACATAATTTTAAAAGTTGAATTACGGTATAACAAAAAAAAACTCAAGATCCGGATATTGTTATG